ACACTTTCTCTCATCACTCATGCATACACAATCACCTTGTATTTATAGGTGTTAACGGATGATTGTGGAAGGTTCTAGTATGATGATGAACATAATTCTAGATACATCCATTAATGGTGGTGATAGTAATTGGATTTTTCTAGCATCTTCTAGGCATGGATGCATTCTAGATCCTTCTAGTTTCTTCTTGTCATGAATCATCACCAATTTTTTTAGAGAGTTCATGGAGCTTCCTTAAAGTCAGTGATGATCTTCAATTCTCCCTTTCAGCACCGACTTTTCATTTTAACTCTTTTCTTTTTCGTCATGTCCAACTTTGCCTTGACCAATTTTGAAGTACTCGATTTTTCATTCAGCATATCTACCACTTCAAATATTTTTTATTCTTCCATGCTTTCTTCTTCATTGATTTTTAGATTGTTATACTTGGTGCTTGAATTCTCACGTCCTCCAGATTTTCTTATTCGTGATTGTGGATTTATACGTACCTTAATATCATGTTGACATCTTTGATCCTCCGTTCTCTATGTTGCTCTAATAAACTCTTCTTTATTACTTAGCATTTGCAAATCTTTAGTTTATCCAGGGCTTTGTTGTGCTTCCGTGATTTTCTCTTGCAATTTGTCATCCATTTCCTTTAAATCTAGCAGATCCACCCTCTTCTGTGTTTGCTCCCCCATCTACGGTGTCTGATCTAGCAGATCCATTCTTTGCAGTGTCTGCATTTCTTCGAAAACTTCTTCTAATTCTAATAGTTCCTCCCTCTGTTGAGTCTACCCTGAAAACTCTTTATAAAACACGAAGTCCTCTTCTAAATCCAGTCATCTTCTCCTGAGTCATTAGTCTAATTTTCTTCGCAATTTATTTGCTCAGGTAAGACTACCACCAACACCAATTCATCCTTCACGCTCGAGTTGAATTTCTTTTCTCGAATCTGCTCAATTGTTGCCGTGGTTGCCTCAGCATCCCATTCTTTTTCACTATTATATTTCTCTTGCTCGTTAGAGGTAGTTATATTACCTTCTACTGACTCCTTTTTAAACCAACAATCTCTAGCATAATGGCCTCATTTGCCACATACAAAGCATGGGCCATTAGTTTGTTGATATCCTTGACCTTTCTTATCAGGTTTTTTGCTGAGCTCCCTTTGTTTGGTAGCTTCCCTCAATCCATCCTTTAGATTTATCTTCTTTTAATTTTTTATAATTTTGCCGACGAAATCGATCTCTTCTCTATAGCTAAATAATGCTTCTTCGTCTTCTTTCTTTATTGACACTCCTAACATTTGTTGGTTAATATTTATTGATCGGCCAAAAAATTTTCAAGATTAACCAATGAAGGTTGCTTGGGCCAACCTTGTATTGCAGCAATAAGATTTCTAAATTCGGGTCTCAATCCATGTATAATTATTCTTCTCATTTAAGACTTCGAAATTTTACTTGAAGCATTTAACTCAGAAATTTCACGACAAAGATATTTAACTTTAATAAAATATTGACTTACCATTAATTCTCCTTGTGTAATCAAGAGCAGCTCATTCCCCAACATTTGCAATATCAGGTCATTTTTCTTTGAGAATAGTGAGGCTAAAGTGTCCCATGCATCCTTTGGTGTAGTCTTGTCTCTTATATGCTCCAACAATTCTTCTTCAATTGTTGTCTTTATAACAAACAAAGTCTTACCAAATTTGATTCTCTACTTCTTCAGAGCTCTGGCCTCCTCTAGCGACGTCACGTCACTTTCGACAACTACTTCCCACAGGCCTTGCCCTTAGAGATACGACTCCATGCAAGTTTGCCAAGTGGTGTAATTATGATTGTTGAGCTTCTTTACACCACTTACAACTTGTAGGTCGCCCATCATGACTTGATTTACCTCATCATAATAAAGTAAGCTTCACGAAAGCTTCACAAGCTCTTTTTGTGCACGAACTCAAGAAGCTCAAAAATCCTTCCCCGATCGATTTTCTCTGATACCACTTATAGAATTTAAGACTTAAAGAAATATATTATTTTATTTATGAAATAGATTTTACACACTTTAATTATATGGAGACACTCCTTACTAACACACTACACCGCCTCGCTATGTCTCTCTTTCCTACTTATTCTATTTGCTCTCACTCTCTTCACACACTTTCTTTTATCACTCATGTATACACAATCACCTTGTATTTATAGGTGTTAATGGATGATTGTGGAAGGTTCTAGTATGGTGTTGAACATAATTCTAGATACATTCATAAATGGTGGTGATAGTAATTGGATTTTTGTAGCATCTTCTAGGCATGGATGCATTCTAGATTCTTCTAGTCTCTTTTAGTCATGAATCATCACCAGTTTTTCTAGAGAGTTTATACAGCTTCCTTAAAGTCGGTGATGATCTTCAGGAAGTGGTGGGGACCCTCTGAGAAAGCTGCTGTCGAAGATGCTGCAAATGTTAAAATGACTTCTTATAGCTTCAACACGCAATACAATCCATTTAAGCCGCTCTTTTCCTCCCTTCTCTCCTTTTTGAAGCCTCCCACTTTGTTGACGTCCCCAATAACCTCACATTGCATTCTCATATGGGTACAGATCAAAGACAGGACACTTCTCATGCAATCATACTGTAAAAGCTTAAACTTGATGTATTGCCAAGTTGTTAATTTAATCGAACATGTTTGAAATTAAACTAATGTATTGCCAAGACGTGTTGTGCTCGTGCTTATTGTGGATATATATGTCGCGTCCCTTGATCTCCCAGTTAGCCTTGTCTGATTTAGATAAAAATCAGGTTTATAGTAAATTTTGATAATAATTTTTGAAATGTGTGATTGAAAAGTATACATTCAAAAAGCAATTGAGGTAATCTTTATATAATTAGAGAGTCAATACTATTTTAATTTTTTTTTAAATAGAGATTGAGTTGCATTTTTACTTTGAAAGATCATCTCCAATATACACTTTATTTTTCCTAATCATCATGGCAAATATCTTTAAATTTAAAGAATATTTTTTTATACATTCTAACAAACTCATTTTATTATTTTTCCTCATTTTTCAATTAGTATATTTTTTTAGATATCAATATTTAGAATTTTCAATATAATATAAATAAATAAATTATTTGAACATTGAAAATTGCAGTATTATTAAATGCAATTATGATAAAATACAAATAGAAAGTGAGTTTGAATTTTTAAATGTAAAGAATCAAACCCACTCTTTATTTTAAACATATAGCTTATTTTAAAACCTAGTATCAAAGTTCTGCTATTTAGGCTTTGTTTGAACCTTATTTTGGTGTGTGTGTGTGTGTGTTGAGAATGTGATTGAAAATGAATTTTGAAAAAATTAATTTTTGATCAAATGGGGGCTCAAACAAGTGCTTAAATTTAAAGAAATAAAAAATAAAACATCTTACTTTTAATGAATCTCTTTTGGAAGCTCTAATAGCATCTCCAATAGGATCTTTAAAAGTGAAATGTTCTCTATTTTAAAGATTTAACCATTAAAAATATGATTCAAGATATTCCTTAAATTAATATTTTAAACTAGAGAGTGAATTTGACTCTTGATAATTAAATGCATTTAAAATATTTCAATTTTTAATACTTTGTATATTGACACAACTAAATCGCACATAAAGAAAATGAGTAATATTATTTAGCACCGCTGGTGACAACACTAGTGGCATTAAATGAATCATATAATTTCATCTTTAGTTGAATCTATCATATAATGCCACATAAACTGGTGTTACATGATATTATATTATTCAAAGAAAATGGAGGGGTGGAAGCTTGTGAAAATAAAAGGCATATATATATAAAATTAGTAAAATTAAATATTAAAAATAAAGAAGTTGTTGCACTATTTAAAAAATTTTACTCTCAAAATTGCAAAATATGCTTTTTAGAAGAAGAAAGGTTCTGAAAATGCTCTTATTTGCATTATAACATCTAAAAAGTGAAGAACCACCTATGCAAATAATTTTTTACATTTTTTATTTGCACTAAGCTCTCGATTTATTTCACTCTAATAGTTGAGAATGTAATTTGATTCGTTAAATGTGCATTCAAATGTATTATTTTCTATATCAAATTGTAAACTGTTAGAAATAAAAACACCTAATCATCATTAACACAATTGTATGAAACTATTATTTAAATATCCATCCTTATATAGGTTGGTTATCCAATAATGATTCCTTTCTCATTCTTACTACATGAATATCAAGATTGACATAAAACTAGACATAATTCATGGGATATTTATCATTGGACAATTTAAAATACAAACAGCTTTTTCATCCAATCATCTATTGCCACATATAATTATGTCAAACTTTTTATCAAATTCTTCTGACTAAGTAGCTTTATCATTTCTCCCGTTCCTCTATTTTCTAGTCTACCCATCAACGAACTAAGAGTTTCCTTACCCTTACCAATGATGAGAAGGAGATTACGGAGCCTGTAAGAGGATCTGATTACTTCTATCCAGCTGTAGTTAAGGAGATTTTTGCAACAAATAAGGAAGATGAGGGTGTTCCGTCTGAGATACAAGTAATATTGATAGAATTTGAAGATTTGGCTTCTATTGAATTGTCGAATGAGTTACCTTCTATGAGGAATATTCAGCACCAGATTAATTTGGTATCTGGGGCCTTCCAAATTTGCCTCGTTACCGAATGAGTCCAAAGGAGAATGAGATTCTAAGGAAGCAAATCGAGGAGCTGTTGAGAAAAGGGTTCATAAGAGAGAGTATGATGTGTGCAGTACTTCTCCTTTTAGTGCCAAAGAAGGATGAAAAGTGGCGTATGTGTGTTGACAGTCATGCCATCAACAAGATAAAGGTGAAGTACAGGTTTTTCATTCCACGGTTGGAGGATTTGTTAGATACGCTTGGGGGTTCTAAGGTCTTCCCAAAAATAGATTTTCGCAGTAGTTATCACTAGATCCAAATTAAACCCAGAGATGAATGAAAGATTGCCTTCAAGAGTAAGGATGGACTTTACGAATGGTTAGTGATGCCATTCGGACTTTCAAATGCTCCAAGTACCTTCATGAGATGATGAACCAGATTCTCTGTCCTTTTATTGGGTCTTTTGTTGTGGTGTACTTCGATGACATCCTTATTTACAGCAAGTCTAAGGAGGATCACCTAGTTCACTTGAGGCAAGTCCTAGAGGTTTTAAAGGAAAATTAGTTGTACATCAGTTTGAAGAAGTGCACATTCTGTACATCTACACTATTGTTTTTAGGCTTTGTGGTAGGTGAAGATGGTCTGCATGTAGATGAAAGAGAAGACAAAAGCAATTCAAGATTGGTCAACACCAAAGTCAGTTTCTGAAGTGAGGAGCTTTCATGGTTTGGTAACTTTCTACAGACGATTCATCAGGCATTTTAGCACTATTGTGGCACCTCTCATGGAATATTTGAAGAAAAGAAGGTTTAGTTGGGGAGAGGAACAAGATAAGAGCTTCGTCTTCATCAAAGAAAAATTATGCACAGCTCCAATATTAGCTTTGCCAAGCTTCGAGAAAATCTTTAAGGTGGAGTGTGATGCTATTGGTATTGGTATTAGTATTGGGGCTATCCTTTCTCAAGAGAAGAGACTCGTGGCTTTCTTTTTAGAGGAGTTAAGTGATGCTAGGCAGAAGTAAAGTGAGTACCTATGAGTAAGAATTCTATGCAGTTTTGAGGGCTTTGAAGCAATAGGAGCACTATCTTGTACAGAAGGAGTCTGTGTTGTTCATTAATCACCAAGCCTTGAAATTCATTCATAGTCAGAAACACATCAGAAGGATACATGCTTAGTGGGTGACTTTCCTCTAGAATTTTTCTTTTGTGATTAAACGTAAATTTGGAAGAACAAATAGAGTTGCAGATGCACTGAGTTAGAGAGCTTCCTTATTAATCACATTGTCACATGAAATTGTTGGATTTGAGTGTTTGAAAGAATGGTATACAGATGATCCTGACTTTAAGGAGATTTGGAGCAAGTATGTGAATCGGGAATCAATGGTGGATTTTTATATTCGTGATGGATATTTGTTCAAAGGCAACCAGCTTTGTATTCCTGTTTCATCTCTACGTGAAAAATTGATTCGAGATCTGTATGGTGAAGGTCAAGTGCAGATATTGGGTTGTACATGCAACTTCCTATCCCTCAGGGCATATGGGAAGATCTGGCTATGGATTTTGTTTTAAATTACCTCGTACTCAACGGGGCATAGATTCTATTTTTGCAGTAGTTGACAGGTGATAAAATGGCACATTTATAGCTTGTCGGAAGACTTCAGATGCATCACATATTGTCAAACTATTTTCAGGAAAATTGTTAGATTGCATGGAGTTCTCAAGTCTATCATAACAGATCGGGATACAAAATTTTTGGGACACTTTTAGATTATTTTGTGGAAGTTGGTTGAAACCAATTTGAATCGAAGCAGCACTGCCCATCCCCAAACTGATAGACAGACAGAGGTTACTAACCGTACTCTTGGAAACATGGTTCGAAGTGTTTGTGGAGATAAGCCTAAACAGTAGGACTTTGCACTACCTCAAGTGGAGTTCGCGTACAACAACGTAGTTCATGCTGCTACAAGCAAGTCTCTGTTTGTTGTATACAGAGGTGCCTTACCATGTGATGGATTTGGTGAAATTGCCTAAAGGTGATGATAAAAGTGTTGCTACTGAACATGTGGCAGAGGAAGCATTAGTAGTTTGTGATGAGTTAAAACAAAAATTAGAGAAAACTAATGTAAAGTATAAGGCAGCAGCAGATTCACATCGACAGAATAAACAATTTTAGGAAAGGGACTCGGTAATGGTGTTGTTGAGAAAGAAGAGATTTCCCGTTGGTCATTACAATAAATTGAAACCAAGAAAGTATGGGCCTTTCAAAGCACTTAAACGGATTAACAACAATGCCTAAATTATTGTTTTGCCATCTTCTATAGGTACTTCTCGTATGTTCAATGTGGCAGATTTTTATATGAGTTTCATAAAGATGATAAGCCTTTGTATCCAGATTATAACTAAGGGTCAAGTTTGTCGGAGGTGGAAAGGACTGATGTAGGATATAATGAGTATATTGAAAAAAGAATACTAGTAGAAATAGAACATTATCTTAATTTCGAATTGGTCCCGTAAGATCATTTTGGAAATAGAACGACGAGGGGAACAATAAATACTATTATGTTGTGATGTATGATGAATTTTGATCCTTCGAGTTCGTTTAGGCCTCGAAAACTGATTTTTAAAGTTTTGGTGCTATTTTTGTCAATTCGTTTATTTTGGTTTTTTTGTTATAGTTTGTTTAAACTTTGTTTTCAATACTTCTAGTTGTTTTAAACTACGTTTTCATATAAATTCTTATAAATAAGGGGTTAATTCTTTTTTTTATTATTATTATTCATTAATAAAATTCTTGAAGTTTATTTTATCCTTAATTTGGTGTATTCCAAATTTCGTGATCTCAAGGTTTTCGCTTGAATTCCTTTCTTCACTGTGTCAATAATTTTCTTTTCTTTATCGTAAATGAATTTATGCTCTATTTAAACATGATTTACCGATGAATTTTTTCAGTTTATTTGTCAAGTTTGAAAATTAAATGTTTGATTTTTTGTTAATTTGAGCAAATTTAGTATGAATTTAAAACAATCAAAAGCGTGCAAGCCTATTATCTTCAATTTATTATGAATTTAATATGATTATTTTCAAATTATTATTTAGTACGCTTTGTATCAATTTATTATGAATTTGCATGTATTTAAGAATGATTCTTTATAGCTTTTAAGTGAGAATAGATTTATATATAATTTTTTTCGAGTTTATCAGTTTGCATGTAAGATAATGATTTTTAATTATTAAACGATTGTATGAATTTGTGTGATATACTCATCATTTATTAAAACATGGCCTTACTTTTTCATATGCAAAATCCCCGCATCGAATGGCTTGCAAGAATATCCCGGGAACTCTTTTGAGTTCATTGGATTTGCTTTGACTGCTCCCTCGAGGTTTTTACCATCTTTCTCCAATTACACCTCATGCAATATGGTAGTTTGTCAACAACTTAACGAAGGCAAACTTGGACGGACCAAGAACCTATTTTTGGAAAAACAGTGTGACAATAGGATGAAAGGAAGGAGATTTTTCAGAGATTTTGCCTGTATAAATATGGCTTGTGTTCTTCCCTATTCTTCCGTTTCCAATGACTGTGAATTAATGAGGGGTAAGGTTGAGAAAATGAGGATTAATATTGCTGATGCGTACATCAAAACGTTGCATTTTTTTTATTTTTTTTTTTCAATTTTTTGTTTTTATTGAACTGGGAATGTAGCTTTAATTTTATTGTGGTGTATCTATTAAAAATATATTTCAATTGTGGTGTGATTATAATTATAGTAATTAAAATTCGTAGTGATAATATAATTAAATGGTTATCTCTTTTTTGTTTACTATGATTCTGGTACAATATCTTTATGAAACATATATTCAGCATCTGTATGGTGTAGATAAAACTATTTTTTTTAATACATTTTGATAAAAATTGATAAAATGTGTAATTGAAAAGTTCTGATCCCATGAAATGGGGAATTAAAACTAATTGTTAACTTTGACTTAAATTTTAATTAATTATTTAAGCTACACCAAATCAAAATTTTAGATATCATTAATTCATAAAATAATTAAATTGATAAAAACTATTTGATGAAATTACTTGTAATTATGACCATGGATCATGATGTCTAAAGTGGAAATTACACTCATATATATTTTTCAACTTATCGTGTCAACAATCAGGTACGATGTTTTTTCTTTAAAAAATGAAGTGTATCACATCTCTCACCTACCTACCACAAACCCTAATTTATTTTTTGATCCATTCCTCAAGTCACATTCACACCCACACAACTACAATTGACGTATATCATCATCGCCTGCTACCACAACACCGACTATCCCCACCACCATTTCCCACACTTAAGTAGCACCCCGACAATGTTGTTCTTAGTAGCACCACAACACTACTGTTGCACCAGTACCAGACAGTGTGCTTGGGAGGCACACTACCTATGGCCATACAAGCAGATAAAAATGGGAGACTTAAGGTTTGGATAAAGATTTGCTGGTCGAGGCCTCTAGTGCAATTTGTGAAATTTCATGCCCCTACTTGCAGTTTTAGATCCGGGTCAGTTTGCAAATGGTGGCGGTGGTGGAGATGGTAGAGTGGAATGAAGAGCTTTCGTTTATTTGTGTTATTGTAATCAAGAAAATAAATAATGTGTGACAATAAATAATACGTGACCGATAAAATGGGTACTTTGAGACCAACTAATAATATGTGACTGATAAAATTGTGTGATTGCGATTAAATCTTTTGTGATTCGTGACTGTGACTATAATTGTGTGTTATTGTAATCTTTGACCTGTTATTGTGACGTTGACATGTTATCAAATGGTCACAAATGTGACCACTTGAGTTTTGAAACTTTTCACAAGTTTCTTATTTTTTAAACTTTGTAACTATATGTATTCTTTCCATGTTTAACTGTATGTTTAAATGTTATTGAATAATTGATCCAATAACATGGATTACGTGTTTTAGCATTTTGACCAAAAGCGCAATTAACCTAACAAGGGCTATGAAAGGATAACTACTAGTTGGTCAAACATAAATCAATAGCTAGACAATATCCGCAACGGACTGTAAGCCCCACCTGCCAGCAATTAAAGATGACCACGTCCAAGCTTAGAAACAACTATAAATGGTCCAACATAACAATAATGGAAAAATACACATTTAATGTGGTTAAAAGATACAATTTTAAAATTAACAAACATATTTTAAAATAGGGGTTGAGGTAGTTCCGTTTAGTTTTGGTTCTAAGAGAATTAAAAAGAATCATGAACCAATTATTTTTTTGATAATGAAACCAATGATTTTTTTTTTTAGATGTCGAGCCAAATCAGAACTAAACTATTAAATTCTAGTTTGGTTTGATTTGGTTCTGATTTCATTACTTACATTTTCAAATGTAAAAAAAAAAAAAAAAAAAAATGAACATCAAACATTTAGCAAAATTCAATTTAAATTATCAATCATCAAATGAAATATTGTGTAATAAAATTCATTCACAAAAGTTCAAACTAACAAACAAAACATTGTCATAATTTGAATACACAAACACCAAGTTCCATCCATATGCAAAATATTGTCTAATAATAATAATCCACCAATATAGACAAATGAGTCACTGACAAAAGCTGGATTTTTGATGTGATTCACTAATCTGTTAAAAAAAACATAAAAAATTAATAAAATTGATTCGATCTAAGAGTTTTGTCCAACCCCAATTTCACCTGTCACTCCAGAACGAACACCAACAGCATCGTCGTATACACCACAATACACACAAGTTACCACCGCAGATCACAAACCACTACACACTAGCGTACACACAAATCACCACCACCATTACAACAGCCATCACTATTACCACCACTACCTTCCCAGCTTCAAAACCTTTCCCAAAACCAGATGCAAACCACCCCCATGCTTAGAGCTGCTACTACAATGGCGCTCTCCACGTGTTGTAGCGTCAATGGAGAGAGAGGAGAGAAGGTTGGTATAGAGAGAGAGAGTATAGAAGGA